CGATGACAACAGTAACGATGTGGACAAAGAAGATTATGAAGACATTACCTAATCTTCGGTTTTGAAGGCAGCATCATAAAATTTACCATATTATCGCTTCAGAGCGCACAGGGTCTTAGATATGAAGATTTCATCGAGTGACAAGCGTGTCTTTCATTCGTCACTTCAACGAACGAATCTAAACGTATTACAGTAAGCCAATCTGGGTGAAAATGATTTCCTGGCGACTGGCAATGCCGTTTTTTGGGATGCCGTTATCGACAACCGTCAATAACACAACAATGAGTAAGGAACAGCGGTGTGATTGGGGCCTAGTCTAGATGATGTTTCAATCATTTGGCGTCGTGCTGTTTGCCGGAACAAACAGACGGTGAAGGGCCAAAGATTTGCCTTTGATCAGACACCGCTGACGACGATTGCTTACCTTTAAATGTCGCCGGAAACCATCGACTGCTGCTTGGTTCGCCGGCGCTCTTAAATCGAAGATGGGAGCCGGTGACAACCGAGTTCGAACAAGCCTGTTCACCTTCGCTATGCGTATCAAGCGACGTGATCGGGCTGAGCGAGGCAAAAAGCATTGTTGAGGGCTGTCGCTGTCGGAGGGCGGTAGTAGCCTAGTTTCTATCTTTGTTGACTGTGTCCGGACACCGACCCGGTTACCGACCGCGCTCGAAATTGGCTATTGTTAACAGGCACGTCGCACGTTACGACTGTTGACGACGTGACGACGACGAGGGCACGGCGAGGATACGACGAGTGACCAACGACCACTTTCGGTCCGCCGGATCGCTTTCACACGCTCATCCGTATTGTCCGTTGTTGTGGACGGCATTTCGTACGGAAGGACGCCGGGGCCACTCGCCCTCCTGCAGATCGACGACTTGTCATGGTCACCGGTTATGGCAGCGGAAGTTACTGTCAGAATGTGAACGGAAAACTCCGAAGCGTGATCGTCAGTCACCGTCCGACCGCTGAAGCGAGGAACGCCCTTTTGTTCGTGTCTGGCAGACTCCGTAGCTGCAGAGGACGGTGGTGATTCGAGGAACACACTCCAGACAATGGAAACTGTATTTACGCAAAAAACGGAAAAACAACAAATACGACGTGTCCTTTGCTGGCTCCGATCACACTAAGAAAATTAGTGCTAAATCGCTCTCCTGCGTTTTGGAGATTAATTACATCCCGATGTTAATGTGGCCAACATGGCCGTGGTTCTCAAGCGCAGACTACAAAACAGGTCCAAAACTGGCACTCTTGTTAACTCAACCTCAAAAAGTCCACAAAAGACACAGAGACACAGAAGAAATACCTTGTGCGGCAAATTAAGGCTGAATGCCGTCCAATTGATTAACCTTGACGAGGCGAACAAACGACAGCGCAGTCATCTGCCTTGCGTCTCGAAGTGCATAAGGTTTGAGAGCAAGCCCCCAGTGGGCGCTCCACAGTGCAAATGCCAGTCACCTTGAACATCCAGGTTCCACTGGTTGAATTCAACGTTCAGAGCGTCTTTCTCCAGCAATGGCAAGACACAGCATTAAAAAGCATTCGTAATTCGTAAGCTTTCTCGTAATCATTGAAATTTGACAGACATTCTGTTAGCCACAAGTTGTCTAGTTCGCTTAAAGGTTTCATCGATTCCAGCAGCTTTGCCATTTTTCAAGCTTATTACAGCCTGTGTGATTTTATCTACTGAATGACTGAAATCCTTTGCCTGCGGCACTTCAGACCGTTTGTTCTGCGGTTGCTCTGGGTTAAAGAGTTCCTCAAAGTACTCTTTCTCTCTCTCTCTCTCTCGTTGAAGTATGTCCTTATCCTAGGTAAGAACGCCTCCAGACGTCTCCTTCAGGACTTTCAGACTGCCCCTCTTTCCATCTCGTAGGTGGCGGATGGTCTGCCAGAATACGCTGTTTATCGTTTGAAGATTCCACTCCACCACCTAATCGAATTTCTCTAAGGAATCAGCCTTCGCTTTGGCCACTGATTTCGCTACCGCCTTGCACGCTTGTTCGTATTGTAAGCGAGTTGAAGGCTGTTTGCTTCCAAACCGTCTCTTGAATGTAGCCTTCTTCTTGGTGACAGCAGCTACAGTTCTCGTGTACACCAGGAAATCAGTTTCTGATCTGCCGACGGAAGGCCAACTTGTTTATACAACAGCGTTCTAAGGCAGCCTCGAGTAAGCCATTCATTAGGAGTTTTCGCTCGGTTTCCACATCGGTGGTCATCACCGGGATCTGTTCAACCCGTCATGCGATGTTGTTTGCAAATTCCGTTCTCTTATCCATCGAAGATGATGCATCTCATTTGATTCTCCATTTGCTTTTGCCACCAGGTCTTTGCATGGTACTCCATCGCTTAAAGCGGAAGGCGCCAGCAACAAGGCAATGGTAGACACATGTGCGCTTGTGTTAAATCGCCGTCCATCACATTGTAAAATCAATCACCGACTTCTGTGCACAAGATTCCCTATACCAGGTACATTGCTGCACATTTCGATGCTCAAAGATGTTCATAACAGACAGTTCGTTGTTGCGCGAAACCGCAATAACTCTCTGTCGTTTTCCTGAGATAGCCACGGCCGTTCCTTCCAATCGCGGATTTCCACTTTCCAGTGTCTGTTCCACCATGCGCATTGAGTTGACCCATCAGAATGATAATGGATTTCGTACTCGGCAGTTTGGATGTATGATATTCTCCTTCCTCCAGAAAGGACTGTTATGCTTCCTCTAAACTGAGTCTTATTCCTGTAACAAGATCAAGCCTTTAGCCTGTGTAACTTCTGTAAGAGGATTGGCACTGTTTCGGTGCAGGCTTCCATTCTATAACTCTGTTGCATAAGATCAAAACTGATCTGAGCACGGGTTGTGGAAAAGACATCTAAATAGAACAGTTTCCATCCTCAGAGTTTCAGGATTCCAGAACCTGGATCTTTGTTGACGAGAGTCCAACTATATCCAGTTGGTTCCTTGTGGCCTCATCAACCAGCTCCTGCTCTTTCCTTCTGAAGGAAGAAATGGTCTAATTTCCAACTGTCAGTGTCGTTCCCGTGAAGCCTTATCTGCCGTACTATAATGGTATCACTCTGTCTGCTTCCTCCGTCCGACGGGTAGCGGTTCATTTGCTGATTGGTACCTTCGTCGTCTTTTTTGTTGACTTCTGGCAGCAGCAACCGTACTGCTAGCCCCAGCTGGTATAAGGGGTGAATCAGGTTCTGATCGCCGACTTTCGCAGTCTGCCTCGGTTTCCCAGGAGGCAGTGTAGGGCCTTTCGCAACCTGGGCGATGGCCGAATGTACATAGCGCGCGATAATTTCCAAACCACGAGAGGAAGGTAGTTAAGTTTAGCGAGTGATCTTGCCACAGTTCCCAACCTTCCTCCTTTTTGTTCTGGGCTTGGAAGCAGTAACGGCGAATTTAGTATAAGTGTTTCACTCAATTTATAACTATATGGCATTGAGTGTTTATTAATAAGCCGTCATCCGTGATGATTTCTCAGTATGGTTGCCAACGCTTGAAAAATCTGATTCCTCTTTGGATCATGAAAACTTTCTTGAACCCTGAAACAAACCTGACCAGAATGATTAGAGGGCTGCCTTTCGTACTAATGCTCAAGGAATGAATGCATGCAAGCTTTCTAATCGTGCGCTGTCTACCGTGCACAAGATTCCAAACTTTGGGACAGGCGGATCGACAGAAAGGCAGTCTCTACAGTGTTGCATTGATCAAGTCAAGAAATGCGGTGAACAACACTCCTGCAGCCTGAATGAAAAGGATCAAAAGAACGAGGCGAAGAAAAGCTACCTAAACGTTTGCAACAACAATAACAGAGCTTACACGTTTTGATGACTATCATACTGAATAAAGAACTATCTTACTAGTCAAGACAGAATGCAGCCCTATGAAGCGCTTACATCCGAGGCCATGACCGCATCGTTCTCCCATTCTGATATGACCACATCAGATGATCATGCTGTCCCTGTTGTTCGGCAGTCAGCGACTTGCTAGCCGTTTCTAGGCACCGATGATCTTCCCCTCTGCGGATTCGATCTGCTGCCACCGGAGTTCGAGGCCTGCGTTTTTGCCATTGTGCCGCCGTATCCCCAAAGCATCATGTCATCAGCTTTCTGAATAAAGATTATTATTTTCGGTTGTTCTTGTTTCCTATGAAAACTGCAGCTACAAAGCCAATTCGTCCTGGGACTGACGTGTCGAAGAACAGAGCAACGGCACAGCAGAACTTCACATTCAGTTGAGAAATACGGAGATGATAGCTTCATAAGCTACAAAGACCTGTTATGAACAGTGAAACCGTCGGGCCATGAGGCAGTGGTAATCAAGGGTTGAGAAACCCGTTGATGCATCTGAGGTAAATATACTTAAGAGAAGTGACTAAAAGCCGATCGAGAGGAATAAAGATGAAACTCGTATTATTTCCCAATAATAGCGCGGTGAAAACTCTTCTCCTGTAGTGTGGTGTTTGAACGAAAAACAACGAAACTGTGGGAAACGGAAGATTGAGAAAATGCTGGATAAATATTAGGAAATGGAGGGAAATATAATGCCTTTCGCCCCGCCTAGGTGGTCACCAGGTACGAAATCGGGAGAATCAGTACTTGAATATTGAATATTGAAATCGTCATTCCCGTGAATGAATGATGGCATTTGACATTTGTAGTGCTTCATACATCGAGAAAACTAACGCATCTCTTAAACCTTTAAATTCGCAGCATTTTCAAAGAACTTTCAGTTTTCCGCTGATGGCTCTTCAGCATGCCAATAAAATGTTTCGCATTGATTCTCGAATGACGAAATGATAGCCACAATTCTAGAACATGTGACTCATAATAATAGGCAGCCAGCAACCATCAAAGCTGAAATACACGAAGTGGAAAGTCAATAAAGCACAGACACAAAACCATCACTTTTTTGTCAAGCGCTCCACTGAATCTATTTTATGTCATACGGATTTAAGCTGGAACTCAACTGTTTTGCAAGGCAATGTCGTAGAATCCTGATATGAAGACTGAAATAAACGGCTAATGAGGCCATGGTGATGAGGTAGGGTCTTGTAAGACAAGTCATACTGTGAATTTGCTCCTCTTCGACCGTCGCAATGTTATGGCATCCGGTACTTCGATCATTTATCGTTCTTTGCGACCTGGACCAGATTTCATACTTTACAAAATACAGAAGCTTACGGAGGATTGAAGAAAGAGAGAAGATGTCTTTCTCCATACTGTAGAAAATATAAACGGCAGTTGTAAAGCCATTCGGCATGCATTGAACGTAGCACAATGAATTTTTCTCGACTTCGCTAATGCTATTACATTGATACTGTATCATTATTGCAGCTGAAGTTTTGCCTAATTTTTCGATTCATCACACAGTTTACGCACAAAACACAATGCAGTCACAACACAGGATCAAAAAATGAAATATTTACGTGCATACAGTATTTATGCTTAAGTTTGGCAGAAGGGGAACTAAAAGTTTTGCGCATGCTCTGCAAAGATTTTAATATTCTATTGAGGTTTTCCTATCGTAGGAAAATATTTTTCATCCCATCTATGTCGTATTAAAGTATCTGATTTACCTTCAAGTGTTCTATTGTAATCCGGCCCGTTGCCAGTTCCAAACCTGGATGAGAAGGGAGGAGGGTTCTGGAGAGTGGCGAAGTCTGACGTGAAACTTATTTATATGCTTCTTATTATATTGCCGTCTTCGAACACTACACAGGCTAAGGAAGGCCGTGCAGGCTGTTGGGGGGACTGAAGCAGACTGCAAAAATTCTGTGATCAGAACCTGCTTCCCTTCTTACGGCAGCCTGGAGTGTCAACACGACAACGGCTATCGAAAATCAACAAAACGATGAAGATACCAATCAGCAACGGAGCCGCTACCCGTTTTGAATGGAGAAGGCAGACAGTGCTGCCATTTTTAACAATCAGATACGGCTCCACGTGAATGATACCGATAGTGGGAGCTTATAGTAGGAAATTGAAATATCTCCTGACTCAGAGGAAAAGAACAGAAACTACTTGATGAGGCCGTAAGGAAGGCACCAATTCGACATGGCTAGCGTCTCGTCGAAACGCAAAAGCTCTGGAATGCAGCGCTGAAAGCCAAAGCTGATTCCTGGAAGAAAATCGGTGACGCGGTGGAGTCGAATTTCTACACGGCAAACAAGATATTCTGTCAGACTATCCTTCGGATCTGAGGTGTGAAGTAGGGCAGTCTCAGAGACAGTGAAGGACAACTCTGGACACCCTCTTACCGAGGATAAAGACATTCATCATGGATGGAGGGCGATGGAGGTTAAATAGTATAGATGTGATAGGACGAACGGTGAACGAAGAATTAACGCACGACAGAAAAATATGGAGGCAGTTGACTCGATCAACGGACCCCTGCCAAAGTAAACACACTAGAAGAAAAAAAAATAGAAGATATAAAAAGGGACTGCGTTCAAAACTGTAAGAACTCCGCAACTTTTGCAAGGAGGTGGAAAGAAATATGCACTGAAAGATAGAAGACAAAGTTACTAATCTCTTTTCTTCTTCAAATAGTTGTTTATTTCTCAACCACCATCTTGCATATCGATTTTCAGAAATCAGCATAGAACCACCATCATAGGCAGGAGTGAGTTTGAGTTATTCAAAGAGACAAGTTGTCAGTGCAGTTATTGAATCCAACAGAACAGAAAAGATATATTTTTGCAGGACACAATATTAAGAGCTATCCAGCGATAAGCTGACAGCGACGTTTTGGAGCGTAACTGACTGGTCTTCTTCGAAATAAGATGGTTGATTGCTGTATGATCGGTGGTGAAGTAACTCACTGCAGTTATTGATTATGTGCAACCAGAACACTTTCATCTTAAGGAACGTGGTGGGATATGAGGTCAGTTTCGAACTCCAGAAATTTCGGGATCAAATCGAAAAAAGGCGAAGAAATTTCTCTTAACCGCAAATTCTCTTGAGTAATGAATTCACCCCACGTTTCCTCGGTGCAACCAACCTAGACACGGATAGT